ATGGGAAGCAGACAGGAAACCAAAGGAATCCTATCTGACACTCAACCAGTCATCAGAGAAAGGCATCCTCAAAAGTTCTACTCATTGTTAATGTTACACATCCCTCCAAAGGAGAGATGAGACTTTAACATGAGGACTTTGAATCATAGGATGAGAATGGAGTGGGAACAAAACCAACCATTACTTGAAGAAAAATCTATTCTAAAGCTCTTTCCTAAAGCCCTAATCCTATAAGCTACACAAAGCTAACAAAAAGGAAGGAAAAGCTCCAATCCAAGCTCCACCAGCCAATTCACACAAGCTTCATCATGTCCATGATATCTTTCAATGAGATCCAGAAGCCCACTATGCAAGGAAGCCCAACTTTGAGTCCATTCCACATCAATCACCAAAATTGAAACACCAAATGAACAAACAAGTAGAATATTCTATCAAAAATACCAAAACACATTCTAAAAATCTGATTATTTTTCTAGGGGAACATGCATTCACTAATAACCTATGGTTCAAAAATCAGGACCTAATTCAATCTCTAAGTCCTCCAATAAAATCCTAAGTTGCAAGGTATCACTAAAGAGATCCACTAAAAATCACTCCTAAACAACTATACTAAAAGCATATTTAAAATCATCTAAAAATCATGATAAAAATTACAAGGCAACATCAATGTGCATATAACAACAATCAAAAGGAATTAAAAGTTTATCCCATGCTAAAAGTCATCAATGAAATCAATCAAAAGGAAAGGCTATGTTATGAACATGTTAAGACTAGCCTAAGTATTAATTCAATCTAAAAAATCAAAACTAATTCTAAAATCCTAAGAAAATTTATAGGGGAACCTAAGCATGTTAGGTATCTATAGTAGAAAAACCAGAGCCTAAAACTATGCTTAAAGGCACTAAAGAAATCACACACCAAAAGTGGTCAAAAGGGAAATCAAGTGGGGAAGCCTCTAAAGATCTAGTTCAAAACATAACCTAAAGCTACCTAAAAATTACCCTAAAAATTTATGGGAGTTCCTTAATATGTCTATAAAAAACCAGCAACGAATTAAGTCCAAATTCTATACCAAACTCCAGAACAAAAATCAGCAAGAAACTATGCAGTTTTTGACATTTTATTATCCAACTAAAGGAGAAAAACGAAATCAAATTGAAAATTAAACGAAACTAAAATCCAATTGCGCACAAAGTTCATAGACATGATAAGGATCATCCCAGAATTTTCTCATATTTTTTTAAGCATTTTATCTATTTTTTAGGAATTAAAATCAAACAGCACACAAAACAGAATTTTAATGCCATTAAAAAAACAACAATCAAATGGTTAAATTAAATAGGAAAACCAACCTACGGATCGGAGATTTGATCCGGTGATCGTTGATCAAGTGAATTTGCAAAGATCCGAACAAGATTATATGGAAAACTTCAAGATCCACAATAATTCTTGCAAGAAGATGAAGATCAAACACTTCGAATCTGAATTGCTCCGAATAAGTGCTTCCAACTTACACTTCAATATCCAACTTCAATTTGCACGAAAATTGATTATGAATCTTGATCCGATAATGATGATGAGTGGAGGTTTATGCTCAAGATTCCATTGATTTCAATGAAAAATCAATGGATCCAATGACAAGGAGCTATGGGTGAGGGTTTGGAGAATGAAGAAAATTGAGAGAATTGAGAGAGTGAGAGAATTCTTGAAAATGAAAAATGAAAATTGTGAGGAGTTTTTTTTCTTTTGGTTTGGGGTAGATCACTTAAGTATTCCTTAGGCTTGTATCCCAAGGTAAGGTTTGGACTTTGGCTTGTGAAAGTTGGTTTGGAGCTTAATGGTATGATTTTGGGATGTATAGCTTATTCATGAAGTCACAAATTGGAACACCATGAACCAAGCCCCAAATGAAAATTATAATAATGCAAAAGTGTTTAGAATATCATTTCCAATCAAAATGAGTACAAATTTGGCTTGAAATCATTCAATTACCAATTGTTTTGAGTTTTTCCCTTTTAATTCATTAAAATGGTCTTTTTGTGAAATTTCTTCAACCAATGCTTGTTCTAATCCATATCAATGGACTCTTGATACTTAGCTAAGCTAAAAACATCATTTTGAGCAACTTTCATATTGAACAAAAATCCATTTGAAGCTTGCAAGATGATGAAGTTGACCTATGATTCAAAATGACCTGAAATGTCTAAATACCCGAAATACCCTTGACTTGTCAAAGCCATAACTTGAGTTCTGCACATCCAATCATGGACTTCTAGTACTCTTTAGAAAGCTAAGAGAATAAGGAACAACATTCATGTTAACCAAAAGTTCATAGGAATCATCCTTCTAGGGCAAAAGTGTCATGCAAGTTGGGTAACTTTCAAGCTCTAAATTCACATGCCTCAGATGACCTGTAACTTGTCTGGCTCATAACTTGAGTTCTATAAACCCTATCAAGGACTTCTAGTACTCAAATTAAAGCTAAGATCATGCCCTACAACCATCATATTGGGGTCAAGATGAGATGACAAACATATATTGAGTTAAATAGTCTTGAAGTCTAGGGTCAAACTAGGGGATTTTACACTGTCAAGTCTTAGAAACCCTAGCCTGAAACTTCTCAAACTCTTCAATCATGATGAGTTAACTTTGGAATCATCCTTAGAACATCTTAATGTATCAATCCATAATCACATGACTCTTGAATTAGGTCTCAACCTCCTTTAAATCCTCAGTTGACTTAGGGTTGACCCAATTAAACCCTAGTTGCACCAGTCATGGTTGAGGCTTCTTATTCTTGCACAATGACCTGTCTAGGCCTCAAAGTGATCTTCAACACTTCTCATGAGCTCTCTCAAGACCTCAAGTCTAACTTCATGGCTTCAGAATCATCTGATGACTTCCCACAACTCTCAAGTTAGGAGACACACCCTCTTGGCTTCAATCACTCTCTCTGAGGATCTTTTAACTTCTCTGACAAGGATATCAACCCTTGAACACCTGAATAAGCCTCCCAGCTAGCTTCAAAGTCTTGTGTAGCCCTTGATTGGTAATCATACCTCCCGATCTCCTACATACATGTCAATGAAATGCAAATGATAATGCTAATGTGCATGAAATGAAACATAAGCTAGGTAAGGAAATGTTGGGCAAATTTTGGGATGCAATAAAGATGTACTGATCACCTCGGTAAAATCATTATCCAAACCACCCTCACAACAAAAATAAAAGATGTCATCCAACGTCTTCTAATCCACCAACACTAACGAGTTGTTCTATTTTGCCTTACAGGTTTTAGAGGGGAAATTTTCCATTATGAGGAATATTATCAATACATAAAAGGCAAATATGACGAAACAACATAAGACTCATTCAAGGGTAAAGTTTAACGCTATACTAAAACACTCTAATAGAAGAAGTTTGAATATCATAAACCTACTCTTTAGAAACCTTAATTAAGAAAATTGAAACGAAATACAGATTTACCTTAAAGAAATAAAGTTGATTGCATATGTGTCGTAGGTACCACCGAGCGAAAAATTGTTGATGGATATAATTAGAAATCAACATAAAGAGTTCACAAGAAAGAGGAAAGTTGATGATATAGAAGACGATGGGCTTCTACAATTCGCAAATGACAAAAGAAATGGGAGAAACAATACTTCAGAAACTCTTTATATGCTCCCCCAACAACATAGAACTGTATGATCCACTATATTGGAAAACTCAATGCACACCATCAATGGTTTGGATGTCCTTGCGAATCGTTTGAGACACTCGAATATTCTAAGACAGAAGATACATCATCACTGACTTGTGTAGTAACACGTCTTACACGCCCACAAAGACAACATTGTTTAAATAGTTTATGAGACCCTATTCAACTATAGTTTATGAGACCCTATTTAATCTAACAGAGAGAGACTCTATTTAATCACGATTTAATCTAATAAATAGTTTATGAGACCCTATTCAACTATAGTTTAACCCTAAAAAATTTGAAATCATGTGCAATAACACGTCTTACACGCCCACAAAGACGGCATTGTTTAAAAAATACATTGTGCCCTTAAGGCTGCTTTCATACTACTTTTTAATGTCTGAACAGTTTTCTAAAGAAGAGTGATTACTTTAATGGAAAAGTAAAAGGAAGAGCGAGAGGAGGAACCAACCTGGTAGAAGCCAACACTTACTACTTCTAGCTTATAGAAGAAAGAAATTGAACACAATGACATCATCATGATATCTTCTTTCTTTTTTGGTTTGGATTATAATACCTTTTTTTGGTCTAGATTATAATACTTTTTTTGTCTAGATTATAATACATTCTTTTTATGTATGAAACTAGTAATTAGAACCTTTAACAGCCTAGTACTTCCATATAAATAACTAGTTATAATTGAAATTTTCTTATATCTTGTGCTAATATGCTAATTAATGCTACAATTTTAAACGGAAAATATTCAGCAACGTTAAATTAAGCGTTTAGATTCTGAGTAATTCAACGAAATAAACTTTAAAGATTGTGTGACAACTTAACAAGCGAAAACATTTTATTGGCTTGAAGATGCATTGTTTGATGCATGCCTGTACTCTAATATATAGCTTGCTACATCAATGAGTTATAATGGAGCTGCATAAAACTGATCTAAGAAAAAGGATATATGTACATTCAAAATGTTTGTCAAACCTAGCCTTAGAGGTAGGGAGAGAAAATTCAGCTGGAGATTTCGAAAGAATTGGAACTAGATACATGATTAATCTAAGTAAATTACAGCACATATAGACCCCTACGAATCTCCTCCACCCACCACTTCCACCTAAAATGTATACAAATTAATCTAAATAAATTACAGCACATATAGACCCCTACGAATCTCCTCCACCCACCACTTCCCCCTAAAATGTATACAAATTTACTATGTAACATGACCTATTACATTGTGTCCCCATGAAAATTTAATAAATACGAAAAATGTAATCATAAAAACTCCAACCTTTCACAGGCCAACCCACTTCACCCACCTGAAAATCCGACCAACTCTCCAGGGCAACTCATAATCTTTAGCAACAGCAGGCTCCCTTCTGGCCACCTCAGGTTCAGACCAAACATATACCCCTCGCTCCTGCTGACTACCAGGTACAGTATTATCCAGGATAACAGCAACAAGAAATGCAATCACCATGTGTAGTGAACAAAGTGTGTTCAAGACATAGTTCAACTGCAAAAGAAACAGATTAACAAGTGCTCTTTCAGAAAAATCAGACATGTTACCTGAATTTATAAACAAATACTAGCTGACACTCATTTCAACACACATTCTCCTATTGGTTTAAATTGATATAGGTCCCACCAAATTTATGAGACTCACATAACTTAGTGAGACTCGTTTGAAGGTCAACCTATAAAAGGGAGTGTGTAGGAAAGTGTGTGTTAGACAGTGTGTTATCAACCAATTCCTCATATTCAAAACATTTCTACTAGTGTTTTTAACCATCATTCAAGGATTAATATAACAAGGGGATCACTTATCTAAAGCTAACTCTGCATATTCATTTTAGTTAGCTCACTGCTCGAATTCAAGATGTCATAATTTGACCTTAAAACATGGAATCAACAAACTATTCCCTATTGAATGAGGGTAGCTTCAGCTTCCATTCACAAGATCATGGAGATAAATTTTGCAATAACAGCACATCCCCCTGAGAGAATAAAGTGGCATTTGGATTACTTATTACCTTTTCCAAAAGTTTCACAATGGTTAACAAATTTAGATCAGAAAAATTGACACAGGAGAAAATATAGGACTTCATAAGAGTGAAAAACATGACAAATGGCATACCCCTCCATGATTCACGTGGAAAGGCCCGTGGGAAGCAACAATGTAGGGCTGAAAATAACTTGGCACAGACACATTGGAATTCGGAGAGATGCCGTATTGTTGAAAGTAGGCCGGTACAGAAAGAGAGAAAAACAATGATAACCCAACTATGATGATATTGCGAGAGCTTCCAGCCTCACTGTAGCGTAGATTTGACAAGCCCCAAGCTGTTAGCATTGCCCACATAAAGCAGAGCAGACCAGCAACCATAACTCCAGGAATTGAAGCAATGAACCCTCCAACCTTACCTGTTGTACAGAATAAGCATAATTAAACATGGATAAATGTGCATGAAATATTTTCTATAAATGAGTTGTATATTCGGCTTTTCCTATGGCTTATGCGGGCACAAAAAGGGATAGGATGAGCATAAGAATCAACATCTTTTCTCCCTCAAACCAATTTGCAACAAAGAGGGATGAAACAAAAATGCCTCAGAAAAAGCTGTGGCAATGTCCTACTCGTATCAGAACCAAAAGAGTACTTCAAATATAACTGAGTAATTCAAAGTTTTTACATGTCCCATGTTTGTGTCTATTTATGATTCTTAAGTAAAGAGGTTGTGAATTGGTGTTAAGATAACATACTAATGACTGCAACGTTAAAATAACATGGTCTGATAAGTTGCCAATATTGCAGCATAGGAAGCAAAAGCAATTTGTAAATATTGTGGATGAGATTACTAAATATTGCGGTGGCAATATCATGTAATCATATTTTCTCTGATAGTGCCAACAAACTGCAGAATCACAAAAGTTGGCACCATACAAAATACTGGTTTAATGAAGGGCTCTGAAGAATGCAGAATAAAGCCTGTTTTCCTATGAGCATCAACTAATACATTAAGCAACAAGTTAAAGAAGTGCCAACTATATACTATAGGCATGTTCAGTAATTCATAGAATTAAATCATTGATCGGTAACTTTAATAATTGTTTTGACTTTAAATTTTTATCTGCAAATTTTGGTATTGCTGAATATCTCAAAGTATAAATTGACTGTTACCTTACGAGCATTCTGTACAGTTAGAATCTCTAAAACCAGCTTCTCTCAGAATCATTTAGGGCACAGGTAAATGCATATAAAACAGACTGACTTAAGACCTACCTTAAATGACATCAAAAATGTATATTAAAAACTCATCAGTGTGTTATCTAATATCAAGAATCAAAAGCCTTTAAATGTCTAATGCTCAATGCATCTATTGTCTACCACAGTTTATTTTCGACTTCCACTCTCAACTGTGGTTATACCAGTCTCAGACATTCTACATCAGATGTGACTTCATAAAGCCTTATGCTTTATCAATACTTAAGGCATGTGTTACTTAAAGGCTTAATATTCACAATAAACTGTAAATTTTAACATCACTAGCTAATTTGATAGCAGTAAGCAACTTGGGGCACAAAAACAATACCACTTTGTTCATTTGTTAGTAATTTTGATCAAGTAAAAATTGCAGTAATCAGCTGTTAGGAAAAAATTTGACACGAGATTAGAAACTAAAGTTTCACTAAGTTGTCATAGTAGATGAAACTAATGAAGAATTTGCTATTTATTCTACTCCCAGAAATTTTTCTACAAGTCGTATTTTAAAGATCATAGTTGCAAACATCACGTGCTTTAACACAAATTTTCCTAATTGCCATAGGCCAGCAAAATGTAAACTCGGTGTCTTCTGATAAGGAAACTAAAGAAATTGAATGATAGATAATATCACGAAAAGCTTGACTGCATGAGTTTTTTCTGACAAATATCAAATATACGTAGCCCAAATCGCTTTTCATTTTTTCTCTTTATAACCCATTGCTCATAAATAAGTGTACTTCCAATGAAGATTAAAATTCAAGAACAGAATGATAAAAGAATCTCTTACCTATGACAGACAACAATATCAGAAAGCATGCGCCCAGTTGAACAGCCAGACGGCTTCCCATTTTAGTCACAGCAATTGTATGAACATTTTCAGTTAAAGTTGTAGACCCGGTTCCAGTTCCCCAGAGACCAGCCAAGACACTAGAAAGACCTTCCAAACCAATTCCTCGACTAAGAACTCCAGGAGTTGGAGGTCTTGATGCTACCAATAAAGAAGATGCATGGTATGAGCCAACCTGCAAAGTAAATGAATATCAACAACAAAATTTAATGATTTGTCAATCCTGCATATAAAGAAAAATAGAAAGAACATTTTGTCTTAATTTTAAGACAGTACATTGTTAGTAGGGGAGCCTAGGCACAAAGGTTGGAGTTACTGTCACATGATTGGAGATCATTGGTTTGAGTCATGGAATCAAATTGTTGCAAATACGACATAATATTGCTTACAACAGGTTCACAAATAGTTTTTTTTTTTTTGACACAGTTCACAAGCAGTTGTTGATCTCTTAAAAATGCGACATAATATTTCCTTGGATGGCCTTTCCTAAATAGTTGTTAATCTCTTAAAAGTTATTACAAGTTAATATATGACTAATCACAAGGTTGCTTGAATCATTATAAAACTTAATATTATTAGAATCAGATTGGTTTAAGAAACATCTTTTATTTGAAGTTCCTAATTTCACATTAAATTACCAAATGAAACTTTTTTTAGTTTTCAAATATTTGTATAAAAAACAAGGAACAGTTTTATATTGTTTTCACTGTTTCATTTGAAAATCTTCAAAAACAACAAACAAACTGATTAAAAATGTGACACTTCTATAATTATTAGTGAGAACAGAAAATAAAATTAAAATTTCAAACCAAACAGGCTATTTCCACTGATCCAGTCACGTCCCAGGTAGAACTACTCACCCTTGCAGCTGACAAGTACTTGAAATGGAATTGAAAAATAGCAAGGAAAGATATTAATTAACCATTTAGAAACATGGCAAACTGACATCTATTGCTTTTATGTTTGGATCTCATAGACTATGTGATAATTGATGAAATCGTAAATAATCTTAGATGAATAGCACATATAAGTTTCCTACATGCATCCATGTCTTTATTATATTAAAATAAATATCATTTTGGGCTTTGTGGCCAGTCCAAATTTTAATTTTCCATCAAAGCCTGTATCAAACTTAAGAAAAATAACAATCTTTAAATGATACAAGAGCCAAGTACAAAACCAGTTTATAATAACACAAACAATACAAAATATTAAATATTCAGAAAGAACTAAGATAAATACCGTCCAGGAACAAAAACATAAAAGGACGAGAAACTAACCGAATCCACGGATGTGATTAACGAAACCACACACATTACAAAAGCCACTTTCCAGTGAAAGACAGGAGTACCCCATTGTAATGGATAGGGAAATCTAAACCATGGAGAGGATTTCAATGCCTGAGAAGTATCAACCCGACAATGCTTCATCCTAGAAAAATGCTTTCTACAATGCTCTGAAAGCATATTTGATGCAGGTATATTTACATCACACCCTTGATAGCTGTAAAATCCTGCTTCAGTAAGCAAGAAAGCATATGCCCATGTAATTGCTAGACCAAGAGGAATCTGGCAGTTAGGTGAAGAAAAAAGGTCATTTATTACACCGCCGGATTTTATTTCAGCTACTGTTGAATAGCTTAAAAAAGTAATGTAACAATCAACTTACTGCATAGATTAGAAATATGCGATGTCCAAGAACAGATATCTTACGAAGATACTGTACAGAGCATGAAATAACAGATAACAAACTTTAGCACAGTAAGCAATACAATATGCACAGATGACATTTTAAATAAATATTTTAGAAAAGAAATAGGCCAAATAAACAAACTTACAAGAGAAAAAACAATAACCACTAATATCTGTACTGCTCCGATCTCAAGACATGTACCAACTAATGGGAACCCATAACTGAAAAATGAAAGTCCAACTGCAGCAATAGTTGGGGATACAACTACAGGATTGATCAACCTGAAACAAAACTCATGAAACATGAGGGTTTTTATCAACCAAATTGAACAGAAATGGTATAAAAAGTTTTCATTTCAAAAAGCACAGGCACTCAAGTGATTTAAATCCGGAGGACGGGAAAAGGACAAAGTTCCATAGTGCACCCAAAGGGAGGGGGATGAAACATTGAAGCATGTACTAATAAAAACGAGTAAGAAAAATAAACAAGCAGAGAAAATCACAAAATTATACCTTATTAAGAGTGACATAAGTCCAGTATATCCAAGTAAAGCTTGAAAAGCAGATCCAATGATTATAGCCCCCTGAAGCTCCCTCATTATATGCTGGAATTTCTGTAAATTGGGTAAGAAGACTTATCAGCTGCCTTTGTCTCAATTATGCCACCAAAAGGTTTATACACGATAAAATCCGATGAGACCTTATGAATAAAAAGATTTTTCTTTTAACATTGTTGGACGAAGCTTGATATAGACAAACATACATACGTTTCCATTTAATGCTTGTAACTCTGGGGAATTTATTATCGCCAGAGCCGGCGCCAAGTAAACAAAAGAAGGGCCTTGTATCAAGGGCAACCTAGACCCAAAATTAATATGCAACAGAGTAGTCAACCCCGAAACGAAGAGCACTGTTGATACCACCTTAGCAGTTTCCTCCTGCACTCTCACTAATACATTAGATAATAACACTACATACAACAACAAAGAAACAACTAAACAAGTGGAAAATTACTCACGTGAGAACCTCCCATTGCAGGAACAATTACAAGTGGAATAAGAATCAATGAACCTAACATCGAAACATAATGCTGAACACCATACACACTAATGGGAACTACACAAACACAACAAATTTTCAAAATTAGAAAGAAATATAAAAAGAGGGAAAATCATTGAAATCAAAATCAAAACTCCAAATTTCCAAAACAGCTCCAACTAATACCTAAACCAGGAGAATCTCTGAGCTCATACTTCATATGAGGGTGCCTAGACGCTAATCCTTCATCATCCACAACCAAACCATCAACCACTTCTTCATGCCTCGCCGTTCTCCGCACCTGCGGAGGCTGGTCCGTTGCCGGCGCTGGATTTGCCTGACCGTTAGTACTCGGAACACCATCAGAATCCCTCCGTTTCTTCACCGTTTGGTCTTTAACAACCGGAACCGATACCGGAATAGTAACATTGTTACTCTGAGCAACGCCGTTGGCCGGTGGCCGAACACGACCAGCTTCGAGATCCAGTTCCGGTTCCGGTTGCGGTTCAGGTTCTCTAGCTTTAGTAGGGACATGGTTTATTATCTGACCAGAATCACTAGCATTAGTCTCACCGGAGAATTTAGGCTTGAAACCAGTTTTCTTAGCCCAAGAAGAAGGTGGAATTGGTTTAGCATCCGTCGGCGGTGGCCAAGAAACGTGACGGTGTCCGTTGCTGGGATCGGAATCGGAATTAGACATGTCAGCGAAGAAGCTAGTCACACATGGCTTGAACCGGTTGGTTATAGATCTGGTGATGGTGGCGCGTGACGTGGCAACAATGTAGAAGTGCGAAGGTGTTAGGGTTTTGGTTTTTCCAACGGCAAAGAACGGAACAGAAAAAGAGAGTGTTGAAGTGAGTGAAACTGAAAAATGTGTAGTTAGAAGTGGGAAGTAGAAAATGAAGCCAATGGTTGAAGGAACGAGTTAAGTTGAGTCTAACTTGGAAGTGTGGACTTAAAACACGGTTATTAATTAATTAATTGACTAATTAATACACTAATTAATGGATTTTTCTTTTTTTTTCAATGTTGTTCTTTCCCGGGACATTCGGAGGAGCCAGAATATATGCATGTTTGGATTAGGAAATCGAACACGTTTAATACCCGGTCAAACGAATTAGTACTATAAGGAATGATTAAATAAATGAAAAATTACAATCGTTTATTAAAATGATAGACTGACATCTTTTTAATTTTAAAATATAAATTAATTTTCCTTATACCAATAGAAACTTTTTTTATAGATAAAAAATAGTAGATAAGTATCATTTATATTTATATCAACCGTTTTTTTCTATTCCTAAAAATTAGTAGGGTGTGTAGTGAGAACTAAATAGTTTTATTATATATTTGTTCTGCGTCGGTCATATAGGTCATATATTTAAATGGATAAGGTTAATTTATCTCAAATTTGATCTATTTGATTTAAAGTATAAAATTAGTTCACGTGAAAAGACAAAATATATTCTATGATCTCTACTTTTCATAACAACTATTTTGAATCTTGAACTGATTTAGGTGTTGAAGTGTTAATCATGCAGATCTACCATGTGTCACTGTAAAGGAGATTAGCATTATCGATTCAAGATTCTCAGCTCACCAATAACATTCAGATCTCTAGTTCCTAAACGAAACAGTGGCACCATATGTAGAAAACGACTTTTGATCCCTACGATCTTGCGATTACTCTTCGATGAATCAGTCTGTAACCTTTAAGGATCATTAAATGAAGAGCGATCAGGATTGAATACGAAGATCATGTGTATTAGATCTGACCCGTTATTGTTCAAACTACGCTTCATTAGATTTATAATGTTAGATTCGCTCAAAACCTTATGATTTCTATCGATATAGAAATCAAGAACAAAACTCTAAGATAATTCCTATAAGTCAATATAGCATCAACTTGTATCCTTTAAACCCATATTTGAATACAATAATGAGAATGAAGGCGAATGCGTACCTGAATTTGCCATTGAAATCGTTGAAGGTTTCGAGTATGTGATATTCTGATTTGTAGAGTTCCTTAGGGTTCCTCGAATCTCCTCTGATGGGGATGGAGAGAGAACACCTCATAAATCTTATTTTGTTGTTCTCTAGAAATGGGGACCATAACCCATTGAAATAATTCTATGGTTATTTCTTAGTTTTCAATATTCTAATTTGGCCCCTCATCAAATTAGACATAGACTTATGGTATCTACACAATAATCTGACCTTTCATGATATTTATACTTTTAGCCATAAATTTAATATTATATTAATTAGACCTCTTTAAGTCTTGACTAATTAAAATAATGACACTAACACCTTAAATGTTACGTTTGTGACCCAAAATTCTAACAATCTTCCACTGGTCACATATACAACTTTACACATGTGTTAGACTTTATGATCTCAAAATTTGTCATTATATTCTTTAAGCATATCCAAAGTATCTCGTCCATTAGTCATGTTAATATATAGAAACAAGGTGATTTTCATTATATCAATCATAACTAAACTCATAAACGATCATCGATAGTGACACAACTAAATGACATAGATCCATCATGAAATGTGTAACATGAAAATCACATGAAGTTGGTCTTTATATGTCAATTTTCAACTGGTCCTACTTTACTGTAGTGAGATCATTCAATAACTTTATTGTACAAAATATAAACTACTGAATATCAAACTTTATTAATTGGAAAATATTCAAAATCACAACATGCATACATAATACCAAACACAAAACATAAAATTCATAATCGACTAACTCCCACTAAACCAAAGACTCCTCTAACGATAAAACAATCATGTGAGCAGTGTGCTCATGAAAGACCTTGGATGGAAGACCTTTTGTAAGAGGATCTGTTATCATGGAGTTTGTCCTTAAGTGTTCTATAGAGATCGGTCCACTTTGTACCCTTTCCTTAACAACTAGGAACTTGATGTCAATATATTTTGACTTAGTCGAGCTCCTTTTATTGTTGGAATATAGGACGGCTGATTTGTTGTTACAGTATAACTTAAGTGGCATTTCAATTCCTTCCACAATTTGCAGTCTAGTGACAAGATTTCTCAGCCAAATCCCATGGTTGGATGCCTCATAACATGCTATAAACTCTATTTCCATGGTGGATGAAACCGCAAAAGTTTGCTTAGCACTGCGCCAAAAAACTACACCACCAACTAACATGCAAATATAGCCTGAATTGGATCTTTCACTGTCTTGGCATCCAGCAAAATCTGAGTCAGAGTATCTAGTGATCTCTAACTGGTCTGACCTCATATATGTAAGCATACAGTCTTTTATTCTTTTTAAATATCTCATAAACTTTTTGGCTTCTTTTCAATGTTTTATTCCTGGATTGCTCAAATATCTTCCTAACATCCCAACTATGAACACAATATCCGAACGCGTGCACACTTGGGCATACATCAGACTCCCTACTGCTGACACATAACGAATCTTTTGCATTTCTGGAATTTCTAAGTTTCCTTTTGGGTACCGACTAAGATTAAATTTGTCCCCCTTAGCAATTGGAGTATCTACTAATTTACATTCCTGCATGCCAAATCTTTTAAGTACCTTTTCGATATATCTCCTTTGTGATAATCCTATAATACCACGAGATCAGTCTCGATGTATCTGAATTGCTAATACAAAGAAGACATCACCAAGATCTTTCATTTCAAAATTTCTTGATAGAAATTTCTTAGTTTTGTGCATCATTCCTATATCATTTGTAGCAAGCATTATGTCATCTACATACAAGACCAAGAAAATGTACTTGCTTCCACTGAATTTGTGATACACACAATCTTCAACAACATTCACCTCAAAACCAAATGAGAGAATTACTTTGTGAAACTTGTGATACCACCGACGAGACGCCTGCTTTAGTTCATAAATGGATTTTCTCAATTTGCAAACCATATTCTTTAAGTCTCCTGACACAAAGTTTTTTGGTTGCATCATATAGACTATTTCATCAACGTTGCCATTGAGGAAAGTTGTCTTGACATCCATTTGATGGAGTTCCAAATCATAATGTGCACCAAGAGCGATGTTTGTCCTAAAAGAGTCTTTCGATGAAACTGGAGAGAAAGTCTCTTTAAATTCAATCCCTTCCTTTTGATTATAGCCCTTAGCCACAAGACAAGCCTTATACCTCTTCATATTACTGTTAGAATCCTTTTTGGTCTTAAAAATTCATTTTTAACCAATGAGTTTCACACCTTCTAGTAACGGGACAAGCTCTCAAAATTTATTGTCTTGCATGGGCTTATACTTCTCCTTCATTGCTTCAATCCACTTTTTCGAGTTGGAATCCTACATGGCTTGACAAAAGTTGATTGGATCATCTTTCAGCATACCATTATTTTCCCCATGTTCTTGGAGAAAGACTATGTAATCATCTGGAATAGCATTTCTCGTTTCTCTAGTGGATATCTGCAAAGCTATTGATTCTTGTAATACTTGTTCTTGAGGATTTTGAGTTTGTTCGTCATGAATTACCAAATCATCTTGAGTTTGAGGAATTGCAACAATGTCTTGTGCAGGTTCTGTACTTGCTTGATCAAAAGCAATTATATGAATCGATTCTGGAATTATTATCGATTCTTCCTCTAAGACAAAATCTTTAATCTTATTCTTCTCCCCAAAATCAATATCCTCAAAGAATGTGGTTGTTCTCATCTCAAAAATCGAATTCAATTTGGGATCATAAAACTTGTAACCCCTAGACCTTTCAGAATAATCAATAAAGCAGTTGCTCACTGTTCGGGAGTCCTGTTTCTTTTCATTTGGCCTATAAGGCCTTGCCTTAGCTGGACGTCCCCATACATAAAAATGTTTGAGACTAGGCTTTCTCCCGGTCCAAAGCTCATAAGATGTTTTGGCAGCTACTTTTGTTGGTACTCTATTTAGAATATAAGTTGCAGTCTTTAGTGTCTCTGCCAGAGTGACTCTGGAAAGGTAGAATGACAAATCATACTCCTTACCATATCTTTAAGAGTTTGATTTCGTTTCTCAGCAACACCATTCATGCTAGGAGATCCTGTCATGGTGTACCATGGGACAATTCCATATTTTTCTAAGTATTTGGCAAAAGGCCTTTGACATTGTTCACCTGAACCGTCATATCTACCATAATATTCACTGCCACGGTCGGATTTTACTTTCTTAATTCTTTTGTCAAGTTGATTCTCAACTTCAACCTTAATCGATTTGAATACATCTAATAACTGGGACTTTTCATGTATAAGAAATATGTATGCATATCTAGAATAATTGTCTATGAATGATATAAAATATTGTTGACCATTCCAAGAAGGTGTCGGAAATGGTACACAAATATTTGTATGTATCAATTCTAAGACATTCGTAGCTCTATATGCATCAAATTTATTTATTTTGGTTAATTTTCCTTTAACGCATTCAACACAAACAACAAAGTTTGTGAAGTCAATGGAATCCAAAATTCCATTGACACTAGTCGCTCAACTCTATTTTTAGAGATATGACCTAGGCGTTTTTGCCATAATGCTCCTGAATTGTTATCCTTAATTTTACGCTTAGTACCATGTGATTCCACATTCAAGGATTTGTCATAGATAGCTATTGTGTCAAGCAAATATAGATTATCATGGCCCATAAGTGAACCAATCCTAACAACATTTGAATTGAAAGACAACTTGAACATATTGTTT